AATAACAGTACCTCAAAACAGAAATAATATAAAAATAATAATTTGAAAGAACAGTGTGAAACTGAAGAAATATCAAGAATTCACTGTGGATAAAAGGCGAATAAAGTACATATTCCTTAGATCTTATTGCTGTGACAAGATGGGGGAGGAAGGGAACAACCACACTACTTGAGTAGTGAACTTCCCTAATTTTTTTTGTTAAGATGAAAAGAAAATAAAATTCTATCCTAAGATGAATAGAAAGGCTCCCTTCAATTTCTGTAAGTGATGCAGCAAAAACAGCCTTATAGCTACTTTTAACTCAACTATGCAGCTTTTTGGAAATGAAAAAAATAAATAAATAAGGCCTATTCTGTGCAACAGAGAAAATGAGATGATTCATATGTTATTAAATTAATACGTCTCATTATACAAAGAGATCTAAAATTTACAGAAAAAGAATAGAGAACAAACAAAGTCCCACAAATGTTTAATTGTGTTTAAAATGTCACAGAATAATTTGTTTTGTACCATCGAAGCTTCCTATCAAATTTATTCTCACATCCAAAACTTGGAGAGCCAAAGCTTTCAAACCACTGAACCTAGAAACAAAATTAACTGTTTCTTCTGTTATTTTCTGCAGGCCCAAGTTATAATAGAATAATAGAATAAGGCCTTTTCTTTTATCTCATCTAAAAAAAGTGATGGAAACCAGTCCCACCAAGAATGATTTTTTGTCCCCAACTATTGAGTTGAAAGGTTTGAAGAATGTCAACAGTTGCAAAATGTTTAATACTGTGATTTGAAATCATTAGAGGGTTAATGGGACAAATCACTTAGTTTACCAGTTGTATACCAACTGTACAAAGGAAATTTCTCTCAGAGGGACCACTGCAAAGCTGACATGTGAACGTGCTTGTGAATGCTGACCATCACTGTGAGAGGTATCTCCCAAAAACACTCAGGAATTTTTGGAAGAAGATGGCAGAGAGGATGAGCAGAGTCGTTAATGAATTGGAAATGCATTGAGGGTACATCCTGCAAAACGAAACAATGACAGGTTGTGCCAACAGCCTAATGAAATCATGAGAAATCTTCATCTGGCATGTAACAACACTAAAAATAGCCTGACCTTATTTAGGGATCTATCAGGTTATCAGTTGTGGCTAGTAATTACAGAAAAAAATACCATTTTGAGTCACCAAAAGTTGAAAATCCAGGCTTATTCCAGTGCCTAATTTTGGAAATAATTTCTATATGGTATAAAATTTATTTATTAATTTTGTTATGGTAAATGCAATGAAAATTACTGTTATTTAAGAAAAAAATTAATAAAACAAAAATTCATTTTTTAAGCAGCACTTTTGTGCAAACACGTCAGTGGACAGCATTAACTAGTTATCATGAAAAGTATCTTAGAAAATCCCAAGAGTCAGAAATTAATATGTCAAACATTTTCTTGAGACATAGCATTTGCTTATGTATTCCCCTGCCTTTTAATACTATTCAACAAGTTGACTTAGAAACAGTGCTCACATTTGTGGAAGGCAAACTCAATCAAAAGAATTCAAGGACAACTACATAAGACTAGAGAAAAGCAGAGTATAAAAAAAAAAGAAAGTAAACATTAGAACCATGACCCAATTAGTAGGATCTGAAAAATTCTTGTTCTCCCCATCCAGTCTTCCTGGACTCCAAGTGTACTTTGGCAATGAGAGCTGAAAATCAGGGATGAATAGCAGGAATCTAAGATCACTATAGCCCCAAGGAACAGCACTTCTGGGTGTTTAAACACTCCACAGTTCTGAGAGAGGATCAGTATCTTACATCAAGGCTCCTTTTAGCTTTGGACAGAAAATACAATAATTTAACTTGGATTCTCTGATCCATAAAGTAATTTTTTCTCAGAATGTTAGAAGTTTATTTTATGGCAACTAAAAATCAGTAGCGCTTTTCAGAAGTGCAAATACCTACCTAGTTAACTTTAAGGATACTTAAACATTCACCAAAGATGTTCCTAGGCACTTAAGAGTCTTCCCCCATGCATGTCTGGAAGTTCTAAAAGTGCTGAAAATGCAGCTGTTTGACACATGCTCAAGTTTCAAAATCATAATTAAATCTAGCTTTCTGTTATCTCTCTGAACTGACCTCACCCAGGAAAAATATTTTAGGGCATATCTCCTAAGTTATATTTCCTGTAAAATAAATCATATGATGATGGCCGCACTATCATACACTTAACTCATCTAGTTTGGAAGATTTGTCTCTGTATTTCCAAATATTTCAAAGAGAGACCAAACTCCCCTAACACCCCATTGTGTTATAGGCTGTATTACAGGACACACACAATTCTATAGGCTGGTTTTGCTGGGATGTGGTTTTTATGGGGTTTTGCTGGAATGCGGTTTATTCCCCATAGTAGCCTACGTGGAGCAATAATTCACTGTGAAACAATGTTGATAACACACCAGCATTTTGGTTTTTGCTGAAGAGAGCTTGCACAGCATCAAGGCTTTTTTCTCCTTTCAATTTTACCCTTCCTGTCCCAGTAGCACATTGGCTGGAAGCAGGTACAGGGTTTGGAGGGGATCTAGCCAGGAGAGATGACCCCACATGACCAAAGGAATATTCCATATCACATGGTGTTCTGCAGTAAAAGCTCAGAGAAAGGAGGAGCAAGGGAGAACATTCATGGTTACGGTATTTGTCTTCCCAAATAACTGCTACACCTGATGAAGCCTTGCTTTCCTTGCTAAACATCTGCCTGCTGATGGGAAGCAGTGAATGAATTTCTTATTTTGCTTTACCTTGCTTTCCCTATTTAACTCATTATCTTCTGCTTTTATATCTCCTATTTTCTTCCTGACCCACAGCAGAGAGGAGTGAGAAGGTTGTTTGGCTATTGGCCAGAGTCAATCCACTACATGCTCTCCCTAAATAAGTATTGGGAAGGATCCCTGGACCAGGAGGGGATGCACATGGAAGCAAACGTGGATCTAGCCCAGTGACTACAGCATCACCCTTGCAGAGGAACTATAAAATGAAAACAAACTAAATTAAACTGCATTACTCCTGAGAGCAAGAAAGAAAACACAGGTCTCCCAGCCCATTCCCTCAAATATTAGTTTGGAGGAAGAGGTCATTTGTTCATGGCTTGTTTTTGTGTCTCATTTTAGAGACTGTTCAAGCATACAAATCATGAGCAGAAGGAAATGCCTATTGGTAAAGCAGAGACCCCAGGTTCTGTGGGGCAATACAGTGGCCTGGGCTCAGCAGACCAGGTGACCTAGGCTCAGGTCAAGGTGAAGTGCTTCTTCGTGACTAGCGTTAAATATGTCCCCCTGTGGTGGTGCTGCTGTGTCCCATATATAGGAGAAATAACTCTTCTCAGGCCACGAAGAGCAAGGTGACTAATGCAAAGTTGTCTATTGCTACAGCAAGCACCTTCTGTTTAATTATCCAGTTCACATCATGTTAGAGACTGCAACAGCCCACAGGCTCTTCTCAGCCTACTGTTAACATTTTTCTTGACTGTGTTTGGTCATTTGTTCTTTATTATTTAAGAGAAAGGAACTCTAGTACAAAAGTGGCATAAAAGTGTGTAAGTATTGATAGGATGTGTTAAGGGAATAAATCATATTGATTGAGCATCTTGTCACCAGTGTAATTGCATCTGTATTTAGGAATTCTAACACTGTAGCTGCAGAGGATCCTGGGCACAGGTCCAGTGCTGAAAATGAGAACCGGGGCTCACAGAGTCCCTTCTGGAAGGCTAGAGAACACTAAGCATAAAATGTCTCATCAAAAGATGGGAGAAAAGCCAGACAGACCTATTGAAAGTGAGACCATAGCAGATGGTTTTGATGTTAGCATGGAAAACTGAGACAGAAATGATAGGAAGCCTTTTAAAAAAGCTGCATGCAAATGAACAGAGAAATTCTATTTAACTTTTTCACCCTTCCCAATAGTTCATATTCCCATCAAGGGACTTAATTCTCTTCTGCTTTAGAGCACTGTCATTCTTCTAAATTGCTCTTGGCTGTGATCTTTACCTGTGCTATGCACCATAATTTCTAAGTTTTATGAATTGTCAATAACAAACTGGACAGGACAACCCCTATTAAACTTCCTCATCAACAGCCTTCAGAAAGACAGAACCCTGCTACATGATTGGTGTAGGTAGATAAATAATTAGGCTTATGCATTGGTATCATAAGGAACAGATGTGGACAAAACACGACAGATGAGACACATTAATTAGGAGCTACAAAGAGAGAACTAAAATGATGCAAGAGGAAAGATTAGGTAGTGGCTAGCTAGCTTTGTGCTACTTGTTTTTCTTTCCTCCAATCATTTAAGCCTGTTACTCTCTCTGTGAGGTGTTTGCTTTGTGTTTTTCTATGCCCTTTATCTTCAACTATAGTTGATTTTACAGTCTAAACAACAATAATATCAAATGTTTGTAGAAAATCTGGATTTTAAAAAATCTAATTAAAACATGTATTTATTTTAGGATAATCTGTTTCCTAGAAGTCATAAAAAAGAAGAGACATTAATAGGAAAATATTAAGTCAATTAGTTAGAGCTGTTATTTACCAATAAGCAATCTGCATTTACAAAAGAAGGACAGAAAGACCAATGAAGGGATATTGCACCATTTTAAGATACACTGTGCATCCAGATATCGTTCTATTACTCTAGCAGGGTGTGCATGGCTCTAAAAGGAAATACTCATGTCACTGGTAAGGATGACAGCCTTAATGAAATAATTTTTCTTTTTTTCAAAGAAAGGCTAGTTTTAGTAAACATAAGCTACAAATTGTGTGTATATAATATGTTATGATTCACCTGAGTGCAATGGCCATTCTCTATTTTCTTAGAAACTAATTTACTGTGTAACTATAAAATAATTATTAATTGCAAGATTTGTTTCTAAGATAACTTCTATGCAATACCAAACAGAATTTCTGTGCGAAAATAAACAATTCTACATATTTATAGAAAAACTTCTTAATACTTACATAAGGGATTGTGTCCAAAGTGTCTGTGTTGACAATTATAGGGGCAGGGCTTGCCTGAAAGGGGAAAAAAAGAGAAAATAAATTTAAAGACCTGAAATTCATTAATATTGAAATACCCATGCTTATACATTAAGTTAAATGTCTGAAAGCCCATTTTCCAATTGAATTCAAATCATACAACACTACATAATTGTGGCTACTGCTCAGTCAAGGATGAAGGAAATAGATTCTCAGCCTCCAAACCACAGCTCACTGTGGCCTTTCTTTTTAGTTTCTCCAGGCTTTAGACCACATCCTGAATACATACCATCCAGCTGTTCTTTTTTTTTTTTTTTTTGTAGAAATGTAAGAAACCTGATGTATTCAACTCAATTAGAGAATATTGAGGTTGAAGGTTTCAGCTTCCCTACCTGACAAATCCACCTTTTGTGTTTGAAACAAGATGATTAACTGATCTTTACAGAGGGGAAACATGTAATACTTACATTACTTAGCAGTACTGCACAGGTATATGCATAAGCACATATATGGTGACATTTATGTCATAGGTATATAATTGGCAGTTGAGCTTCAGATTGAAATACAGACCAGTTTAAAAAGACTTGAGCATCTGCAAAGCTGCCCAACCCGATCTTTAATTTCTTGATGAAGCTCATATCCAGGCTAGTTTCCAACCACCTGAACCTCTTGCTCTTCCCATTCTGGTATTGAGTGGTATTGACCCAATGCCAAGCTCTGCTGTGACCCAGCATAAACCTAGCTCAGACTCTGGAGAAAACCACGGAGTTGTGAGAACGCATAAGCCAGAGGCAAGCACCGTCAGTAAAATGTCAAACTGAGGCAGGACTGCCAAGATGGGATTGTTAACAAATCAAGGACTCAGAAGGAGAAACATGTAGTCAGTGTAGCACAAAAAGTGATGGAAGGCACCCTTTCTCATGCCTACTTGGGCAGCAAAGACTCTTCAGTCACTGTACTGGGCTGATGAAAATACTAATGCTTAGCACAGCAGCTCACTAGTTCTATTCATTTGCACTGTGTATTTGTCACTGAATGACTGCACTTTAAACTCCTACAGACTGCAGGGTCTCTTTGTGCATGGTAGGCATGAACTCAGCACTGCTGAAAACACTGATCCTACTTCTGTCAGCAAATATTTACTGTGGGATTTCAAACCTTTGCTTGTTACCAACCCAAATTAGGAATGTGACATTACTGCAATAATTCAAATAACATGATAATAACACAGTTTGGGGTTTCCCCCCCGCCCCCAGTTTTTGTGCAGTCATTCAAGGATAACTCTGTTCAAAGAAATTTTATGTTACTGGACAAAAGCTACTGCTGATAAATGCCATAATTTCTATACAACTGTCTAAGCCATGAATTAAAATTCAATGCATACAATTTGGTGTGTCTGCATTTCATGGTATGGGCCAGTGTAATGGTAAGGTATTATTTGATATTAAAATGCTTAGTATCTGAAAAAATATTATATGTCTATTATTCTCATTGTGTCCCAAAACACTGGACACACTGAAGTGATAGGTAAAAGCTGAAGGCCATATGATTATAATACTTTTAGCTTTAGGCATATAGAATATGCCTAAAGCTGCATAATCATTGAAGGTAAAACAAATTATTTCCTTTTAATAATAACACTAATATTTAGCTCAATACACTTAAGTGCTACCTTTGCTACAGGAAGAATGAGCTTGGCAATTTTTTACAGTATTGATTTTACTTATTTTACTTCCTTTTTATTTTTACTACTGTGTTGGTTGGTCTATTACCAACTATAAAAAAAAAGACTGCAGTTTTCAGAATAAAAGCATCTTTCCACTTATGACTTAAAAAACAGTATCTACTAAAATAACAAAAAACTTTCAGAAGTCATTTTGCAAAGCATTCACCCAAATCTCTTTAATCTATTGAAGAACAAAGCCTTTTACCTATATCAGATTTTCCTGAAGCAAAGCTAAAGAAATCAGAAACAAATGTGGGAACACTTGGGATTGGACAGAGTATTCCTGGTGCAGTGTGACAAGGGGATGAGATGTCCCTCACCCTGCTGCCCAGGCTGGTAGTGCAGTCCAATTTGCCATTCCCCCTCACTGCTGTAATGGCTGACTCATATGCAACTTGTCCTCCTTTCCACAAAGCTGCAGCTTAGCCAGACTGTGCCTGGCTGGGACTGCTCCATGTTTTATCCTGTCATGGGGAACTCCTTATGTTTTCATTGAACTTTGTGAGGTTCCTCTCAGCACATTTCTCCTTCTCCTATATTCCTCTGAAGAGCAGGAACAATCCAGTGTATAATCTGCTCTTCCCAGTCTGGTGCTGCCTCAAACCTTTCTGACAATGCTCTCCATATAATCATTCTGGTTATTAATGAAGACGTTAAACAACATTAGCACCTCTATCAACTGTATGAGCACCACAAGTAACTGAATTCTGAACTAGTGACCACTGCTTTTTGGGTCTACTGCCCTAGCCAGTGTCCCACTCATCTTCTAGTAAACCCATTCATTTAGTTTCTCTCTCATTTGGTTATGAAAGAGAATTTGTGCTGAAAGCCTTGCTAAAATTCAGGCAAATGACGTCTACTGATCTTCCCTCCTCCACAAAGCTAGCAGATTTCTCATCACAGAAAGATGGTAGGTTGACAAGGTAGAATCCAAACATTTGTAAATTGACCTCCCTCCTTTTAATCACCTCCCTCTGATCTTCATGAGCCTTGACAAAATGTTCTGGATGCCCAGACCATGGACATTCACCACGAATGCTTCCATTTGTTAGCTTCCTAATCCTGATCCCTGGGTTATCACTTGGTCCATCACCCCTTCCACAGGAAAAGTCTGAGCATTGAAAGCTGCTCCTTTGCATGATGTGATCCTTTCTAGACTGGCCCTGTTGCAGAGCCTGTAAAGAATTAATTTTCAGGCCAGTGGATCATTTCAACAGTGTGCTTACTGTGTTCTTTACTGATTGGAAAGAATACACTCAACTATCAAACAGATGATTTTCTGATGATTTATCCTCTTCAGACAGATGGGCGTGAAAAAAGACACAGCACAATAGTTTCAAATGGGCATAGTGACTACAAGGACTCACAACTAATATCATCAGTGCATTCACTTCTCTGTTCCTCCTGTTCATATATGGGCATGTGATTCTGTGTGTGTGTGTGGGACACTGCTTCTTGTTACAACTTGTAATAAGAAATATGATTTAACGGAAACATTTTGCTCCCATCTCTCAGCTATATGGTGATTTGAAGAACACTAAACTCCTGAGCTGCAAAATTGCATTAAAGTGCAGGAAATGGAGATTATTTCATTAGCTGGGCCCTGTTTGTAGCTCATGCTTTCAAGTAGGAGACTTCAATCATGCAAAGTTGAGAAGACAGTTTCCAATCGCTGGAGAGAGCCCTAAATATAGCACTAGCCATGGAGTAGTCAACAGAAGCAAAACAGTCCTGTAACCACAGTGAAATTACTGAAGACATAAGATCAGTATCAACAACGAGTTAAAGATTTTACTTTCCAGAATGATGTGTCTACATCTATGAAAACATGACTTGAAAACGTCACACTGGTTCACCAAAACCTCAAAACAGATACTCGGTATCTCTGTACTTCCAATAGAACATTGACAAATCTATGAACCAGGATTCAGCAACAGTACTCCCAACTATGCATAAATTAACAAAGGCATGCAGAAACATGTCTAGATTCTCTTGAGAACCTCTGCCTAGAGTGTCTTTGAGATAGCACTGCCTCTTATCTCTCAATCTGTATACCCACACAAATCCATATAGTCTTTATCTAGGCTTCAAACTGGTTGAGAAGAAATAGCTTTCTCAAAGATAACAACTTTATTCCTAACTCTGTGTTTTGACCTCTTGCACCATCTTGACCAGAACACTGAATTACATTTTACCAAGTAGCTTTCCCCAGATGCAAAATAAATCCAAACCAATCACCAGAAGTGTGAATATTACTGAGTGCAGTCAACTGAGTAATCCTGTTTTCCCCATTCCCCACTTCCTTTCCTCTCCATCCCAATCCCTACCTATACATTAAGTATCATATTAAGCTGACAATGTACTGTGCAGTCACACTTACAGCTCCTGCTCCCTGCATGAACCTTCCTCCTACCCTGCTTTCAGCACTGCTTTCAGCTGAGCCAACTCTGTGCTTTGAAAAAAGGCATCACACTGACAGCTGCAGTGAAAGACTGGCATAGCTGAGACAAAACTTGAATAGCTTTTGGAAAAAAAAAATAGAAATGGAAGATTTTTATTTTTTATTCTTCTTAAAGGACTTCAGAGTAAAACACTTTGCTTCCACAAATATAGACAAGATTGTTCTGCTTGCTTCTGCCAAAAGCACAACTCAGAAGCAAGACAGAGGAAAAGCACTTGAAGCCAGTAGAAACAGGACAAAAAGGCACATGGTCTAGTTCATGAACTCTGCTGCCAAATTCTCTACAAGTGTATAACATGACGCATACCTCCTAGACAAGGTGAACTTTCCCTCTACCATGAATGCTAGCATTATCCTGGTTGACTGGTTTTAATCATACTACTCACAGTTTTAGAGACTATCCATGTCATACTGGGTTGTTTTCTCCAGCATTCCTAAGTCCTTGTTTTAACTGTTCCTACTATGCAGGACTATATTCAACACCAGACCACAAAATCACAAACAAAGTTATGTGGCCACTACTTTATAAATCATAAGCACAGCACATTACTTCTTAACAAGAAAACACAACCAAGTATGGCATCATTTTGAAATTGCCCACCTATGCTTATTTCTAGCTGCAATTTCAATTTCATACAACCAATAAGATTGGACCTCTGTGGTCAAGTCCAACCAATAATCCATCACTGCCAGGTCCACCATGTCCCTAAGCACCCCACCTAATGGGTTTTTGAACATTTCCAGGCACAGTGATTCCACTACTTTCCTTGGCAGCCTGTTCCAAGGCTTGATCACCCTTTCAACAAAGACTTTTTTCTTAATATCTAATCTCAACCTCCTCTTATGCAA